TTTACCACACATGAAATGCCAAACCATTAGATGTTATACAGCGTTATTGCTGCCACGTCCATGTCAAACTTGTACCTGACATTTCAATCAGGCAGTGCCTATGCATTTTTACTGTTAGCTTAAGAGTGCTTTCGAATTATATGAAATTGTACTCAAATTTTCACTCTTTTGTAAAACTGTTCTTTTGAATTAAAAAGATAACAGTAGTTTTTCTCATGGGTATACTTGCAAGCAGAATAATGACATTCGAATGCAAAATTATTGTTATTATAGCTGCATAGTTTTTACTGTAGCAAAATATATGTCCAATTTAACAGGAACCCAACATCAAAGTTTAAAGCGGTTATTGTGTATAAAAAAAGTTTAATTTGTTTTACACAATGAAATAGCTAAATCAAATGAAACTCAATGGTAACCAGAATGACTGCTAATGCATATTAAGTATCACATAGATTAATTCATTTATTTTCGATGTGAGGGTGTGCTGAGAAAGTCTTCCTGACATTCTGGTGTCTTTGGTTAGGCCCCTGCCTTCGTTTACTGGAGAACAGACTGGCTCCCAAAAGATTGTCTTATCAAGGGTTGACATTACTGTTCGCAAAGCCAGCCCAACGAAACTTCATGTCCAGTGACACAAAATGACATTTGGAGCACATGGGAAGGGAAACGTGAAAGAGTTTCAAACAAGATATATTCTGAAGGTTAATGTCGATTTTTTTTAAAGTTTCAGTGACATCCTCCGTTTACGGGTGTGTAGATGAAAATGTGGTCAAGTGGGACTAAATTTGGTCCTACGATTGTTGGCATGTGGTCACAGCTGACCTATATTTCCCGTTATGTGAACGCTTACATTGTTTGCGTGTATTTTTCTCTTTATTTTTAACTCTACAAATGCATTTTACTTGACATTCATGTCTGACAAAACACAAAAAGTGACTGATTTCTTTGACTGTTTTAGACTGATTCACTGCATCAGGGGTCTGTCCTGAATGTGTTCAGCAATCAACGGTGTACTTCCCCTGAGGATCAGCTGTGAGGTCAGTATCTTTATGGGGGAAAAAATATTATAATTCAGCTTTCCCAGTGAGAAAACATTTTTTTAAACGAATAAATAAATGCTGTAAAATATATCTGTACCCCGCAAAAATGACTTCGTAATGAGCTGAATTACTCCTTTCTCGACTTGTTTTTCAGTTAAGAAAAATATTTAAAAACAAAACTTGTGAGAATGCATATTTTACAGATATTTTGTAATACTGCACTAGCAGATTTTTTACAGTACGCTTAAAACACTTTAAAAATAACATATGTGACCCTGGACCAGAAAACCAGTCATAAGTAGCACGGTTATATTTGTAGCAATAGCCAAAAATACATTGCATGGGTCAAAATTATCCATTTTTCTTTTATGCCAAAATCATTAGGATATTAATTAAAGATCATGTACCATGAAGATATTTTGTAAATTTCCTACCGTAAATATATCAAAACTTATTTTTGATTCGTAATATGCATTGCTAAGAACTTCATTTAGACATCTTTAAAGGAGATTTTCTCAATATTTAGATTTTTTTTTGCACCCTCAAGATTCCAGATTTTCAAATAATTGTATCTCGGCCAAATATTGAAGAAAAAAAAATATTGACACTTATGACTGGAGTTGAAAACAAGTCTCTTGTTCTACGAATCTGAAGTAATTATATATTTTAATAAATATTTAAAGACATTTAAATAACAAATATAGTAAACTTTTTTTGCATACACTATTAATTTTAAGGGACTGGCAAACCCTGGAAGACTGCATGGGGAGGTGTCAATGTCCACCAATGTCACTGGATTCAGGGCACATCGTTCCCCCCAGCATTTGGATATGGACTTGGCCTGGCAGGAACTGATGGCCATCACAGAACTTCAGGTTGGTACACTGGACCACCCCACTAAACTTGCTCTTTTACATGCACAAATGTCAAAACTCAAGAAAACTTCTGATTATTTTATGGTAGGATACAGCCAGTCGTTTTATAGTCTTAATGAAATGGTGGCCTTATAACATTTTTCTAATGCCGAATCCTCTGTAAACACACACACTGAGCGACGATCTGCAACAATGGGCCAATTGAGTGATGCGAGGATAAAGGCAGACAGAGAAAGAGGGCGAGTGCTGTATATTGCCGACAGCCCCCTGCATTGCACAATGACTATCTGTTTCGACATGAAACCTGAGTGCTCCCAAGTAAGACCTGCATAAGCTACGGGTGGCACATTCACCCAGGTGGGCTGGTCCTGAGCAGATGACTGAATACAACCCTCCTCTGCAGCACAAATCGACTGCAAACCTTCACTTTACTAGTGTTTTATTGTTAAAGAGTTTGATTTGAATCACCTCCAAGGTCAAGTTTGTTATTAAATTCTTGTTATTAAAACATTATTTTTGTCACAGGAGTTTGAGGTACCCAATGAGAATCCCTTTGAAGCTATTCCATACCTGTCCATGGAGCCCATGGTTTCTCAAGGGGGGTTCGGGATGAGTCAACCGCAGCCAGAATCCATCCCAGCCACTTGTGATGCCCATCCTGCTGCGGTTTATGAAAATGCATACCCTGAAATGATGCCACCCTATCAGCGTTTAAACCCACACATGGATATGCACTACAGCCTCCCTGTCCCAGGCGGCCACGGTTCCTCCAGAATGCTTGCGAATACGCAAGCTCTTCATCCTCCTCTCATGAGTCTTTTGGAGCACATGAACATGAAGACACGCAGTCATGGTATTGCGAAAGATGGCGTTATCAACCTTCATTGCACAGGACAAATCAAACAGGCTTGCACAGATGATCTTGAGTCAGATTCCGGTTTGTCGCTTGGTTCAAGCCCACCGCTTGCCTCTCCCGAGAATGCGGTGCATGGAGTACCTTCGTACTTACCTGCAGATGGTATGATGGGCTATGCCGAAAGCGAAAGTATTGGGGAACAATATCGCATGCGGCCGAGTTTGCTTGGGTCTGTCGACTACCAGCAGTCCTACAGTTCATACCCTGGAACTTCTTTTCCCACAACTGCAAATATGCAACCTATCAACCAACAGACTTACCAACCAATTGCATCACTGAAGCAACCGGTTTTACCCACAGCCCTGCATGATCTACAACTAAACAGCTCAGGTTTAACAAGACTGGGTGCATATCAATCCATGTACCCAAAACCGAGCAGCGTTCCCGTACCCCTGAACAGAGATCAGAGGCGAGCACGCACTCTCAAAATCCCGTTCTCGCTGGACAAGATTGTGAACCTACCAGTGGATGACTTCAATGAGCTCTTGACCCAATTCACACTGAACGACGCTCAGCTGGCACTCGTGAGGGACATTCGCAGACGAGGGAAGAACAAAGTAGCAGCTCAGAACTGCCGCAAGCGTAAGTTGGAGAATATTGTGCATTTAGAAAACGAGTTGGGACAGCTTAGAGCCCAAAGAGAACATTTAACCAGAGAGAGACTGGAGTTTCAGCAAAACCTAGCCATTATCAAATGTCGGCTCTCAGATCTTTACACCCAAGTGTTTTCACAGCTACATGATGAGGAGGGACACCCTTATTCAGTTGAGGAGTATTCACTACAACAAACTAATGATGGCAACATTTACTTGGTGCCGCGGAATACAGCACTGGAGGGTGAATGAACTGATGTTTGTTTTGAAAAGTGGAAGTCACCCATAGATGGACAACTGAACTCTTGAGGTTCCTACACTTTTTGACCAATTACTTAAAATCACTTGTCATGAACTAGACTTAAAATAATTTCTTACGATATCACTCATAGTAATTTTTAGCCAAAGTTTAGGACAGAACTACAAAATATGTATAACTACAGAAATTATGAAGAGCTTTTAAGATTAAGACACTTCCAAACTTTTATGGACTATGCTGCAAGTGATGTTAAACACTTTTGTACATTGAAACATTGGTCTAAAACCTAGAATCAGTATTATGTCCAACATACAAACATGCTTTAGGTGAATGGGTTCTACACAAGACAACCAAATCATTTGTAGTATTAAAAGTTTTATTGGTAAAAAAGGTAAAAAACGGGTAATAAAAATAAAATCTCTTCAGCTGCATTTTGGTCCTAGAAAAGAGAAGAAGTTTGAGGTTTAGAATATTGTAAACAAGATAAAAATACTGCATTACAAGAGCAAGTACCTTTTCTCATTTCACCAGTTTAGACAGACAAATGTCTTTTCATTTCAAGATGATTTTCACTCATCAGATCCTGAAAAAGCAAGAGCAATATGGTCAGCATGTTAAATGTAGAACATGAAAAACCACAAGTGGGCATGCATTAAAAAGGGTTTAAGGTCTACAAAATCTTGTGCACCAAACTATGCTGACTGCAGTTACTTCCCCTGTAATATACACAACACTGAATGGGAAGTTCACATTAACTGTACAGCTTCTGCTAATAAAATATTTTACAGTTACCAGCGGTAGTGGAGAAGTCTGTTCTTACCTACAGGAGTTATAAAAGCGCTGCCTGCTAGTCTTTGAGTGGCGCCCTGTACTCCCTGCTCTCTGCTTCTTCACAGGGCGATGATCTTCCTACTCCTTTCTCAGCCTGCTCCCATGGCTAGACTGATATGAAACCACACTACTCTAGGCATTTGCATTAAACAGCCTATGCTTTTTGAACCAGTTTTGACCATTTCACTTACGTTCCCTTAAGAGAACGGGTTCCCTTTTTTTTTTTTTTTTTTTTTTTTT